GAGGAGCTGTGCGGGCGGAGCGCGGAGTGCAGCATCCACCTGGAGGTGATCGTGGACCGGCCGCTGCGGGTTTTCCACGTGGAGGTGGAGGTGAATGATATTAACGACAACCCGCCGGTGTTCTCGCTCAAAGAACAAAGGCTGCTGATAGCTGAATCTAAGCAACTGGACTCGCATTTTCCGCTAGAGGGAGCTTCTGATGCGGATATAGAAGCGAATGCGGTATTGACCTACAGACTAAGCCAAAACGAGTATTTTTCTCTAGAATCACCAGTAAGTAGTAGGCCGACTAAAAGATTGTCACTTATATTAAAGAAGCCTCTAGACAGGGAAAAAACTCCAGAATTTAAAATGCTATTGACGGCCACAGATGGGGGGAAACCGGAACTTACTGGCACAGTTCAACTCTTTGTTCAAGTCTTAGATGTTAACGACAATGATCCGGAGTTTGATCAATTAGAATACCAAGTAAAACTGGTGGAAAACGCTGTTAAAGAAACTCTTGTGATAAAGTTAAATGCCACAGATCGAGATGAAGGCATAAATGGGGAGGTAACATACTCTTTGAAGTCAGTTAAGCCTGGAGGGAGACATTTCTTTACACTGGATGAAAGTAATGGAGAGGTGAGGGTCAATGGAACTTTAGATTATGAAGAAAATAACTTTTATGAAATCGAAGTGCAGGCCACAGATAAGGGGAACCCCCCAATGGCAGGTCACTGTACAGTCTGGGTAGAAATCTTGGACATCAACGATAACTCACCGGAAGTGACTGTAACTTCCTTGTCCCTCCCAGTACGTGAGGACACTCAGCCAGGCACTGTCATTGCAGTGATTAGTGTATCCGACCTCGACTCCGGTGTCAATGGCCAAGTCACCTGCTCTTTGACGTCCACCGTTCCTTTCAAGATCGTGTCCACCTTCAAAAACTATTACTCATTGGTGCTGGACAGCCATCTGGACAGAGAGAGCATTTCAAACTATGATTTGGTAGTGACTGCTAGAGATGGTGGTTTGCCCTCGCTGTGGGCCTCGGCCACCGTGTCCGTGGAGGTGGCCGACGTGAACGACAACGCGCCGGCGTTCGCGCAGCCCGAGTACACGGTGTTCGTGAAGGAGAACAACCCTGTGGGCCTCGGCCACCGTGTCCGTGGAGGTGGCCGACGTGAACGACAACGCGCCGGCGTTCGCGCAGCCCGAGTACACGGTGTTCGTGAAGGAGAACAACCCGCCGGGCTCCCACATCTTCACGGTGTGCGCGCGCGACGCGGACGCGCAGGAGAACGCGCTGGTGTCCTACTCGCTGGTGGAGCGGCGCGTGGGCGAGCGCGCGCTGTCGAGCTACGTGTCGGTGCACGCGGAGAGCGGCAAGGTGTTCGCGCTGCAGCCCCTGGACCGCGAGGAGCTGGAGCTGCTGCAGTTCCAGGTGAGCGCGCGGGACTCTGGTGTGCCTGCCCTGGGGAGCAACGTGACTCTGCAGGTGTTTGTGCTGGATGAGAATGACAATGCGCCCGCGCTGCTGGCGCCTTGGACCCCAGGAACAATGGCTTCAGTAAGTGAACTAGTGTCGCGATCAGTGGGCGCAGGTCACGTGGTGACGAAGGTGCGTGCCGTGGACGCGGACTGTGGCTACAACGCCTGGCTCTCTTATGAGCTGCAGGCGTCCGCGGGTGTCGCGCGCAGCCCGTTCCACGTGGGTCTGTACACTGGAGAAATCAGCACTACACGTGCCCTGGATGAGTCTGATGAGCCGCGCCAGCGCCTGTTGGTGCTGGTGAAGGATCATGGAGAACCTGCGCGGACGGCCACCGCCACCTTTCTGGTTTTGCTGGTCGAGAGTGGTCAGACTCCAAAATCCTCCTTGCGATCGCCGGCAGAGGGCACAAGCCTGGAAGTGACACTAGTGGACATCAATGTGTACCTGATCATCGCCATCTGCGCGGTGTCCAGCCTGTTTGTGCTCACACTGCTACTGTATATGGCTCTGCGCTGTTCAGCCATACATACTGAGGACACGTGTGGGCCCGGGAAGCCCAGGCTGGTGTGCTCCAGTGCGGTGGGGACCTGGTCGTACTCGAAGCAGAGGCCGCAGAGGGTGTGCTCTGGGGAGGGCCCGCCCAAGATGGACCTAATGGCCTTCAGCCCCAGTCTTCCTCCTGACCTGGATAAAGATGAAAGGGAAAAGCAGGATCCAGGATCAAATCACCCTGGGCAGGTGAGTTTTCTACAGATTTTACCTTTTCTAGAAGTCTATGTGAAATTATTTACAACCCAGTTTTTTTAAATAGTGTGTGTGTGTGTGTGTGTGTGCGCGTGTGTGTGCACGCACGCACGCACGCGCGCGCGCGTGCGCACGCGCAGAAGTACTGGGGATTGACCCAGTACTGAGCTCCATCCTAAACTTCTTTAAATTATTTTTTGAGACAGGGTCTCACTAAGTCGGTAATTTGTAAATATTCTGTATTTCAAATATTTTGAATAACCGTGTCAGTTAGTAGAATGACAGATAATACATGTATCCAGTCTTTAATCATGTGAATACTTAGGTGTCTTTTTTTAAACGTAGGTTTCTTTAACCGATTAATAGTCGAGTCTAATGTATGATTGGATAATGTTAAAAAAAGTAATTTACAAGGATGATTCATTGTTGTTACTTGACTAGAAATGATAATTAATTTTAATTGAACTACCATTACTAGATGATGGGAATCTTTGTTCTCTGAAAGGCTTATGCTAATGTCTTTCTGCAGCACAAAAGCCATCCAAACAGTATGAATGTGAAGCCATGTAAGGCAGAGGTGGTATGCACTGCACTATGCTTGGTATCACTTTCCATGGTAACCAGAGTAGCCGCTTCCATCACACCTTAGTTCAAAGATCACTAATGGTAAACTTTGAAGCAGAAAATATTTTTAAATACAAAATAAGAAACGTGTTTTGTTTCTATATATATATTAGCTAAGTAAGGCTTTATAAATGCTCCACGAAAATATCCAAAAGTGAAACAGAATTTATTCATTTTTTAATTTTTATTTTGAAGAGAAAACAAAAACAAAATAACAAAAACAAAGACAAAAACCAAAACAACACAAAAAGTATAAAAACAATACAGAATTTCAGTCACAAGATGTTCCTGTACACTGAAAAGGTGAAAAAGGAAAACTCTGCACATTCATTACAACCATCCACAAAATAGGATTGCCTTCATTTTCCTGGGACGCTGAATGCCTACTGAACGTATACTCACAGACTGCTTATAAAATGTCCCATGTCAGCTTTCCCTTGAAACTGACTGTTCACCCTCAGAGGCCCTCATGACTTGCGGTGGTGTTCATCTGGGGAAGAGGCCTCTAATACAGGCTACGCTCAGTTCTCCTCCTTTCAGCCAGGGTAGTAGGGAGCAGCCAGTTCTGCTACTCGGTTCCCGAGGAGGCCAAACAAGGCACCTTCGTGGGCTTCTCGCAGGACCTGGGGCTGGAGCTGGCTGAGCTGGTCCCACACCAGTTTCAGGTAGCGTCCAAACACCACTGGAACCTTTTGAGGTAACTCTGCAGGATGGTATTTTTTGGGTGAATTCTCTGATGGACTGAGAGGAGCTGTGAGGGTGAAGCATCCACCTGGAGGTGATTATGTAGAGACTGCAGCGTGTTTTCCATGTGGAGGTGGAGGTGAAGGACGTTAACGACAACCCGCCTGTCTAGGTACTAACTTTCCTCTAGAGGGCGCTTCTGGTGCAGATATAGGCATAAATTTGTGTTACGCCTTTGTGTTAAGACTAAACCAGCATTTTACATTTAAAAAACAACAAAAGGATAAACACACATTGTCTGCATTAGCTCTTCTCAAGTCACTGGATAGGCTGGAATCACCTGGACTTCATGTATTGCTGATGGTCACCAATGACGGCAAAATGGGACTAACAGTTTCTGCTCAAAGGCAAATAGCCATCCACACCAGAATTCATAAACCTGTTTATAAAGTCGTATTGTTTGCAAATGTCCCAAACAGCACGACTATAGTTGAACTAAGTGCTTCCAAGTTAGATGAAGGCCTAAATAGAGAATTTTCCTCTGCAATGAGAATAATTTTGCCTGTGAGTGAGACATGTATGTTTTTAATAAATCTAGACACAAGTGAAATGAAAATTTATGCAGAGCTGGATTTTGAAGAGAATAATACTTATGGAATTCAAGTTAACACTACTGATAAGGGGAATCCTTCCATGGTCAGTCAGTGTATAGTCCAGATGGAAATTCTGGATATGAACGATAATGTCCTTGAAGCAATGGCCACTTTGTTGTAACTCCTTGTGCTAGAGAATGCTCATGTAGGCATTGTCAACGTACTGTTCAATATGCCTTACTGTGACCGTGGTGTAAGTGGACAGGTGACCTGCTCCTTGACACTCCGTGTTCCCGTCAATCTGTTTTTCACCTTCAAGTATCACTATTCGCTGGTGCTGGACAGCACCCTGGACTGTGAGAGTGTTCCTGACTACCAGGTGGCAGCGACTGCACGGGATGGAGGTTCACCTCTGCTATGGGCCTCGGCCACCTTGCCCGTGGTGGTGGCCAAGGTGAATGACAATGCGCTGGTGTTTGCACAGCCCAAGTACATGGTGTTTGTGAAGAACAACTGCAAGGTTCCCCCATCTTCGCGGTGTGTACACACACCACTGCCTGTTCTATTCTTGTCTTGGACCCAAGAAGCAGGGGGTGCAGTCAGCTCATCATACTAGCAACAGAGTTATCAGAGGGTGTGCCCTGTGGAGAGCCTGTCTCATGACCTTCAACCCTGTTTTTTGTGAACCTGAGAGGATTGCTTAAATTCTTCTAGTGAAGTAAGTGATATTATTGAAGGGTATTTGTTTCTCTTAGTTACTTATTTTTAGATTATAATGGTGTCCTCTTGCTAGTTTTTTTTTGGTTTTCATTTTCTTTGTTATATTCATAATGGCATCCTTTATAACATCTCTTATCTGGTTTCATCATTCTTAGTCATTTTGAATTTTATTTGTTATCCAACAGTATGAGTTAGGTAGACATAATGGAGATCATGGATCACAATTTAAAGTTCTCTTTTTTCTTGTTATCTGTGACTGATTGGCCTTGAAAAATAGTATGTTACTTTAAAAACAATCTAGATATTTATTAACTCTTAAATTTTAAAAATGGTCATAGGTTCAAGGTTACAGGCAAGTTAAAAGGATGACTCAAAAAGTATCCAACAACTTTAACTGGATTCATTGTCTCTTATGTACTGAGGCTATTAAAATAGCCTCCTTGATTATTATTTTCATTTCAGTATAATCTAGATATAACAATATTATGTTCTAAGTATTGTAACAGTAATAAAAATGACATATTTTTATTTTAAAGAGAAAAAATAACAAAACAACAACAATGAAGACAAAAACAAAACAATACAAAAACAATAAAAAATACAGGATTTCAAAACAAGATGATAGGGATAAATAATGGTTGTTATATTACATATTGTTATCATCAATGAAGTTACTCAGGTTACCAGATGTAAGAATGTAAGATTGATCAAATAATTAAAGACAATAACAAGTAATAATAAAAACATTAGAAATGATACAAAGCTTCATTAAAAAAGATGGTCATATTTTTATTCTATGATGAGTAATTTAACATTTTTCATGTGAAATATCCTTTCAAGTGAGACTGACAACTGTACTATATGTAGATAAAATATAATAAAATCATTTATTAATTTAGAATATTTAATGTCACCTAAATCAAGATATATATTGCAGTTCATATTATAATTCAGAATGTGTTATAATTTATTTTGCTTTTCTTCTTGTTGGGACATACATGATAGCACATCTTATAATTAATGGAGTTTTATTTTTGCAATGCTGGACGCTGAACGAGAGCCTTACACATGCTGTGCACGCGCTCTATCACTGAGCCTCATCCCCAGCCCTAATAGCGTTTTTGATTCAATAAAATATAAGAACACTTTTTTTTCTTTGTGTTAGGGATTTGAAACCAGGGCCTCTGGCATGCTAAACAAGTGCGCTACTATGAGTTATATACCCAGCCCAAGAATACTAATTGATCCCTATTGCTAGGCACTGTTCTAATTATTCTTTTTTTTTAAGCAAGTGACCCATATGGCAAACATACAACAATTGTTATTCCTAATTTATGGACAAGACATTAGATATTTGAGACCTAGAAATAGTAAGAAGTGGGCTCAAACCTAGTTTTGGAGAATCTTAAAATGTTATGGTTTATTATTGCTCTATGCCTTTTATCAGGTGAATTTTGTAAAATATGTAAAATCATGTAACTTTCTTTTTAAAAATATCTGTAGGCTTCTCTTTGACCAGAAAATAGAACCTTACATCCTTCTGCTTGATATACATTAAATTTTTAGCCTTTTGTATACTTTTACACATATCTTTAATTTTTGACCTGGAAAACTTTTGAACAAGTATATGCTATTGAAATCAATACCAGAACAGTTCCATCTGCTGGAAAACATTGCCTAACTGCTTGAGAAAACTCAAGCAGTTAGGCAATGTTTTATTCAAGAGTGAGTATAGACAACATTTCAATAGAAAAATATTACAGATGAAAAGATGAGTTTGAATAAATGAACCAAGTTTTCCTGGTGAATGTGTACTTTACAGATTAGAGCTGAGGAGATTCTAAGGCAAGAAAGCTGGGACATGGATCTTCTGTAACAATTTAGGTATCAAATGATGGAGATTTACATTATGGCAGCAGAAATGGATTGCAATATTCACATACAAGAGGTATTAGCAGTGTAGAAGCAGCCAGATAACGACTGACTAACTCAAAGCAAACAACAGGACAAACATGGAAGTAGAGGATGACATTCAGTTCTTTAGTTTGGTCAACTGGAAGAACAAGATTCCCTTAGGCAAGATGCAGAACAGAGCTGAAGAAACAATTTGTGCACATTTTTGCAGGTTGTAAATTAAAATAAAATGTTTCTTTTGAAGTTGTGGGAGAATACTGTTGTGGCTGGAAATCTGGGCAACTCAGGATATCACACTATGGATTTCGGAGTAATTTCATCAGCTAGAAAATTTAAATCCATGAAAGGATAGCATCACCAAGAAATATTTTAAAATGAGAAATAACATGTTTAAAAAATTTGGGTGAGTAGTTGTGTTAGTTTTTGGGACTGCTAGAACAAATGACCCAACCTGGGTGGTGTAAAACAACAAATATTTACTCTCTCCTGGTTTTAAAGGTCAGAAATCCAAAATCAAGATGTTGCTAGGGTTCTACTCCTTCAGGCTCTAGGGTAGAATCTGTTCTTTGCTTCCTTCAGCTTGTGGTGGTTACTTATGTTACTTGGCTTGTGGTTATACCTCTCCAATCTATGGCCACATTGCTTTATCTTCTCCGTGTCTTCCCTGTGTGATTATTTTTTAAGGGTACATGTGATTGCACTTAAAGCCCACTGGATACTTCAGGATAAACTCTTCTGAAGATATTTAATTTATTCATAACATTTGCCCTATAGAATAATATTGAGAAGTTCTGAGTCTTATTATGTGGGTATATCTTTTCAGGGACCACTGTTCAACCAAATGCAGTAAGCTTAAAATCATCAGAAAGATAGACAATGGGCAGCTGAAATAAAAGGCAAAGTGCAATATAAGTAAATTTGTGCAAATTTAAGTAAATCTGAGAAGTTAGAAGTGAAGGGAAGACAAGAAACAAAACAGTTATATATACAAATAAATGTATTATATCTGTGTAAAGAGAAGTTTGAGATGTTACATAGACATGTTAGAGATATTTGAGTATTTTGATGGAAAGACAGACACACTGAAGAGAGCCCATACAAGAATGAAAAGAAACATGAAAGATATTAAAAATATTAAAAAGAATGAAAAATAGCTTTTTCTAGAGCATAAGGTCGACCTTAAATATAGGGGTAGTTTTCCATTTGGACTAATCAGGAATGAGAATTAGAAAATATAAAGGAAAATGTTGATATAAGAAGTGAGCAATTGACTTCATGTTTTGTGATTTTTCCTTCTGTGGGAAAATCATCTGAAAATGGAAATGAGGGGGAGAATTTGAGAAGAGAATATTCAAGAATTTCTGTAGGTAAGAAGGAAGGATTTATGAATTCATTTGAAGGTCCAGTTTAGGTACATGTGTGAGTGAACATGTAGAGAATATAGCCATCATGGTTATATAAGTAACTATATTACTATAATAATGTTAATTAATTGATATAGCTATAATATTAATTAATATAATATAGTTGATATAAGTAATTATGTTTTCAAGATCAATAGGAAGAATAGAGAATATTAGGTTAGTTGTGTGGTGGATGCTAGTTGGTGTATTAGAGGAGTAAGATAAATGAGTGATTCTAGGGTGTCTGGAAAGGTATGTTTTAAGTAGTTGAATAATATAGTGAAGAAACAATTGACCATCCTAGGGACTAATAGATAAGAAGCATTAAAAAGAATCAGGACTATTCCCATTATGAGGGTAAAACATGTTAGTAGAATTAGTGGAGCAGGACAGAATGGTCGAATGGGTAAGAGAATACTTAATACACTGCATAAATTCCAGAAAGGAGCAAGTGTACAGAAATGAACCCAACTGTCATTTTCTGTAAAGCTGTTCACAGAATAGACATGATAGTATATTCTTATTGTTCATTTAACCTTGAACTTTGTGACCTGATATTGATAACAAAAATTCCTTCTTCTTTTTCTTACTAAAGATGTGTTAACATCTTTTTTCTAGTTTTTCTTACATACTAGGAATATCAGAACCAATGTAAATGATAGTAAGGTTTTCCCTAATGATGATGAAATAAAATACACAGAGAAAAGACATTTAACTTATTATTAGTAGTTAAAGTTTTATTAAATGCTTAGGATTTTAGTTCTTGGCATGTTTTCTACAAAGATAACTCTAAACTTGAAATCATCACTTTGTCTAAAAAGTCTCACAAGCTCACATGCAATTGACTGTATTGCTTACAAATATTTTATTCATACTTCATAGTCATATTCGGAGGAATTTATAGATGTTGTGTATTTATTAAAAATATGACATGTCCTTATCAATATCTTCTTCCTTCATTGGTTTCATTCTTATGTGATTTTCCATTTGCAATTAATGGCTATTGTGTGAGAAGGTCTTAAAAAATACTACCAGAAAGGACATCACCACCAGAGCTTACACGGCTATGAGAACTAGAGTCCCATTGATCCAAAATCAACGTTTAATATTCCCCCTCTTTTAAAAAGCTGCATGAAAATTTTAC